GGTCTTTCTCTCGTAACTTCTACCTTCAGCTCCCAAGCTGCCTGACTGGGAACTTTCACCCTCACCAACATCACTACACCCCACATACACTGAACAAACTCTCCCCAGTTCTGCCTGGTCTACTAGCAAAGTATCTCAAGCCCCCTCGCTTTCCTCCATCTTCAGTGGCACCAGCCTCTCCTATCCTGACATGCTGCAGGAGCCTCCTAATTGAATCACACCTTCCTTTCACACGAAGGGAAGCTCCTCAATATGCAGATGGCATCACAACAGACACAACTCGGTGTCCAGCACTGGACAAAACCAGCTGTGAAGGACAAAGTCAGCTACACTGGGGAGTTCAGTAGATGAAATAAAAATTAGCTGTACTGGCTAGGTCTGGGGCACAAGAGATTTAAGACAAGCTTGAGACATGCTGTCAAGCAAGAAAGTAAAGAAGCTAGCAAAAATTAACAGACAAGAAACAAGGAAAGACTGCAGAAGTGGACCAGCTTGGAAGTGACTAAGAATAAATGACAACCATAAATGCCAACTGGGCTACCGGAGTCCGGAGCAGGAAAAGGACATTAATGAAAAACTGGTGGGATGTGAATAAAATCTAGTTAACGGTACTGTAGCAATGCTAATTTCTTAGTTGTGATAAAAGTGCCATGGTTGTTGCATAAGACCTTGTATTAAGGAAAGCTGGGTGAACTCTTCTGTAAATCTAAAATGATTTCAAAATAAAACGTTAAAAAATAAGTCAAAAAGACAAAGTACAGCCATGTCTAAAAGGCCATCGGAACAAAACTGAAGAAGCACCCACGGACCAGGAGCAAATCCGAACGTCAAAAAGAATGACTGGGCACCATGACTTAAAAATACACACGAGCAGAAGAACCGAGGATTTACCGCACGGCCCTTCCTATACAAACCACATCTGTAACCAAACAGTTGAGGAGCCAACATTCTCTTTTCCAGAACTCGCTAACAAATGCAAAAGAAACGCTGGACTAGAGAACCACTGTGAGCCCATGTGGTGATTCTTCACGGCAGGCTGGGGCAACGGCACACGATGCTCGTGAGGTTCAGTCCATGGGAGTCCCCAAGCCCTCACTCTGCCTCGGGGAGCACACCCCAGGGAGCAGCCCTTGGTTTTGGACAGCGGGCCCCCAGGGAACTTCCCCCCTCTGGTGCTTGTCCAGGTTACACAAAGCAGGCTGAGTTTCTCCTCCACGGGGCTGTCTGCAAACACTTACGGGCTCTCCCTTCATGAGCTTTTCACTCTCTGGGCTAACACATCCTTGTATTCCCCTGCAGTTCCCCCTAAGAACACTGCCCCGGCCCAGCTGAGTCAGCACCAAGGTTGCAATTTTTTAGTACAAGAATCCAGCACTGATGCTGCGAGAATAGTCGAATTGTCACCAACAGAAGAAGCAAGGCTACCAATGTCTCCTTCTGAAACTGACCATCAGTGCCCTGTCAACTCTCCTGGGACACCCACCAGAATTCCATGATCACGTAACCTGGCTAAGCCCCGGTCATGTCCTGCCTCCCATTCTTCCCTTTGTGCAACAGTGGCCGTCAGGTAAGCTCCCGGCCTGCCCCATAAATTCACCTGGGTTAGGTTGGCGCGTTGTTCCAACCAATCAAAACCTTTTTAATACCAATTCTACATTAACATATTCAGTCTCAATGAAAACTGATGTTATTCTGAGTGAATTTAATCACACAAACTTACTAAGTATAACAATCATATGCCAGCTTTGGGAATAAATCAAGTTTAAGAGAAGACAGGCATGTAAACAAATTAAGTCACTTATAATTAAGACAAATATGTGGTGTGTTGGGCGAGAGGATGGAGACAAGGAGGCAAACAAAGCTTGAAAGAACACTGCCATGTCCAAGAACTAAAAACAAAGCCCCTGTCCGTGCAGAGAAAAGTAACAGGACGTGGACACACAGCTGACAGCACACGGCCCACGGGCAGGACATCAGTGCTCCCATGCTGGGGCTCAACACACGACACAATTCAAGAACTTTAGAGCATGTCAATTAGGACTTTCTGACTATAAGCAAAAAGGTTTTTAGGCAGTGGGGTAATAAAGTACACAGGTAGATCGCCTGTAAGTACATGGCAGGTGGGCTTCCCTGCGTGGAGGCTTCCCTGGGAGATTCCCCATGAGATGTGTGCGAGTCACAGCAGTGACAATAGGAAGGCAGGCAGGCCTGGTGGAGTGAGGGGAAGCTCAGAAGTTCAGGGGCACTGCCTAGAGCACGGCATTTCATAAATAGGACTGCATGCACCACGACAAATGTTATATGAGAAAGATCAGATTTTCTTCCATTTATATTGAAAGCACAGTTTTTAAAAACTGTAATCCACATGATACCATGTTTTTAAAAGCGATCTATTAGTTACATTATGCTCTCTTTAGTAATAGTTGAGGCTTATGAGCCTCTTAATGGGGAAAGGTGCTGGAGCAACAGTGTGTTAGATGCCCATACCAGGCATTGTAATAAGTATACATTCTATCACCACCACAGCTGAGGAAACGGGGGCTCAGAGGAATTCCGTCAATGGCCCAAGGTTCCAGTAAATTCAAAACCCAAAGCCTGACTGCAGACCTGGCACTAGAGCCTATGCCATCAAGCTATGCTGAGGATGTAGGATTCAGAAGTCCAGTGCCACAGGACATTCTTTACATCTCAATACTGCCCTTTCGCGTCTTAACAGAGCCAGTATGAAACAAATTTTAATATAAACTCAAAAATATGCTCTATAAAGGCCATAAAATCAAACCCTAAGGTCTGAAAACTGAGAACCAAATAAGGTTGTGAAGGCCTTGACCAGCAGGGAGAGCGGGCGAGCTGGCTGAAGCATTGCTACCTCAGCCCAGCCACAGGCTCCCTTTCCATCGCTTCAGGGTCATCAGGGATAAAGAGACCATTTAAAACTTGACAAAATCCACAAAAAGTTAACTGCATTCAAATTATGCATGACTAACCCCAGAGTGTTATACAAAATAAAAGCCCACTTATACACCTGCTAGAATAATTTCCTTATAGAACTCAGTATTTCTAAGTATTAACAGTGTTTATAAAAATTAATAAATTTATACACTGAATGCCCAATTGATTGTGTACTTTTAGATAATAACCTGAGAATTTAGAAATATCACCCAATTCCAAAATAATTTTAAGTAAACCGCTGCTTAACCAAGAGATGTACAAGTATAAATCATCCTTATTTTATACACGGACTATTTCCGTAGTCACAGATATACTATGGTGATTCTTTAACCCAATTTTTCTAAAGCATCAAATATACTCATGTATTTTTAAAAAGATGCTACCCCTGGCAACAGACCAACCCCCCGAGATTGGCCAACCTTCCTTTTTCCCAGCTAAACTTCAGGTAAGCCTGGGAGGGTGAGTTCTTCAGTTGTCACCTGGGATGAGTCACTACCACCACCCACAAGAGAGCACGCTCAGCACTGCTGCTTCTGACCGCTCCTCACTGGCCATGTTCAATTTCCTCTACCAGGGACAGGAACTACCAGAAAAGCATGGGCCCTCAGAGGGGCTGGGAGGCCCACCAACCTGCCTTCTTCTCACCTTGCCCAGGGCCCAGGGAACGTGGCTTCATCTGCAGGCACTGTGACTTCTGTCCTGCACCCAAAAGCCAACGCACCTCCCTCAGCTGCTGAAAACAATGCCCAAATCCAAGGAAGGGAGGGATGGCAACGACGGAACAGCACATGACAGCACAGGTGCCACAGGGCTTCAGGCAGGTGGGCACCACGCTCGGTCCCCGCACAGGCTCCCTCCGCTAGCTAGCGGGAGCTGGGGCAGCAATCAAAGCAGGGACTTCCTAAGAGTACGATGAACACACCAAGAGCTTTAGTGGGAAAGGCACACAAGCAGCCAGAACAGGCGGCTGATGAGAGCAGGGGTGGAATCTCTGAGAAAAAAATCAAAGAACTGCCGAGAGCAAACCGCCCCCAGAAACGAGGCATGTCTCTGAGGAGCTTATTGGTAAGGCCGCCATGGCTTAGGGATCTGATCCGACAACACAGACTTCGAACACTGAAAAAGCAAGAGGAGAAAGACTGAAAACAGGCCATCCGAGAACTGGAGGACTTCAAAACACGAGCTATCTGCGTAATGGGGCTGCCCAAAGGAGGCACAGAGCAATGGTCTGAAGCCCGAAGCCCGGAGGGAACGTGCACTGTCCATGTGAACGTCACACACCAAACCCCAAGTCCAAGAAGGTCAGAGCACACACACCACGCAGGATAATCACCAGAAACTACACCTAGCCGCATCATAGTCACATTTCAGGAAACCCAAGACAAACCCTGAAGGAAGCGAGAGGAAAGAACACCTCCCCCAGAAGGAAGCAACAATGAGAACTACACCCATGCAAGAGTGGAGTGAATGAAATATTTTAAGTGTTGGGAAGTCAAGAATGCCACGCAGCACTGAGCATTCAAATCCTCCATCATCTACAATCCTGTACCCTACAAAATCCTCCTTCCAAAGTGAACACTTTCTCTGACAAACAAAAAAGCAGAGAATTGGTTACCAGGAGAAGTGCTTTACAAGAAACGGTCAAAGTGCTTCAGACAGAAGGGAAACGACATCTGTCAGAAGCTCAGATCTACATAAGAGCGTGGGAGGAGTAAGCAGGTGTCACATCCACACCTGTTTTTCTTATTCCTAGTTGACCTGATAGGTAACAGCACACTGTGCAGTCACACATGCACGTGGTGTGAGCGAGATGACGGACAGGACACGGCAGGGCGGGAAGAACAGGAGTGTTTTACACGGTCCTTGCAGCACCCATGAAGTACACTTGGATTAGTTGTGAAGGCATTACTAACTCTAGGATGACCCTGTCAAAAGTTAAGTACAGGCAGAGCTCATTTTATTGTGCTTTGCTTTATGGTGCTTCACAGGTGTTGCGTTTTTTACAAAGCGAAGGCCAGACCCTCTACCAGCAAAAGATAGCGACTCACTTTATTGTAGCGCTCACTTGATTGCGGTGCTCTGGAACCATGCCGCAGTATCTCCACGGTGTGCCTGCAAACGCAGGCTAGGAAATGAGAGAAAGTGAGATCATATAAAATGTTCAACGAAAACCACAAAAACCAGAAGAAAACATGGAAGACAAAAACAGCAACAACGAAGGGCAGCAACTGGTCAACGGAGCCTATGGAACCAGAGCCTATGATGGCAGTGGTCTGACACCCAACAGCACCTCCCTGCCACAGGTGGGGTACATCCAGCCGAGAGCTGACACCTCAGGTACCTCAGAATGCACTCAGTCCTTCTCCTGTACTGGGGGTCCCTGACCGGTATAAAATCCCACTCGCCCAGCTCACCCAATCAGAAACCTAGGAGCTTCTAAGACTTACCCTCTCCCTCAACCTCCACAGCCAAGCACCGGTGAGGCATCAGTTCCCTCTTTGCCTGGTTCAGAACCTGTGAGGGAGCAGGTACCCCCTGACAATGGTTCAAACCCTCATCGCCACACCACTGCCAAGCCAACACCACACATTAGGCAGCCTGCTTATGCAGACCCTCCCTCGATTCCCTCATTTGACAGGTTTTACCAATTTCTGGTCTGATTCTTATTTCACATGCATGCATATCACCTTTACCTTTTTAAACATTTTAAAAAACTAATGTTTATGGACACTAATATCCACAAAAAAATCACAGGTTACAAATGCTAGTTATTTTTCCTGACACGATGCGGAAGTACTGAAATGAGTCTTGCGTGTTACCTACGAAACACCAGCGCATGCACACTGCCTTGCAGGGACGATGCAGACTCATGCATACGTAGCATCAAACCATCACCCTGTCTGACTTCATATCCTGATTCCACCCAGTGTGCACACCAGACTCCACCTGCTGACTCCTGACAATGCCATGCCCTGTCTGCACTGTGGCCGGAGCTGTCCCCTGCGCCTGGAATGCTGCCCTCACACTTCCCAGGTGCATGCTTCACCCCAATGCTAAGTTACCTCCTCTCCTGAGGACACACTCCGTGTACCTTTCATTACATTCGCCTGCATCTTACAGGTGCCTCAGTGTAATGTTCACACAATATACTGTGGTGTCTGAAAACACTCGTTAGACCACAGGCTCCTTGAGGGCAGGACCCACCCCATTCTCTCTTTAGATCTCAGTGCTGTAGTCCCCAGCAGAGAGCCGGCTCACTGCATTAGTGGGTCTGCAGAAGCAAGCTCTCAACTGCAGAATGTCAGGACTCCTCGAGTTCCCTCCTACTGCAATGGGGGAGCAAGCAAAAGGGCGTTTCAGCATGTGCTGTCCTCAGCAAGGTGAGTTATCAGTGCACGAAAGGGTTATAATCACTAATTAAGGTTTTGGAAGGCTTTAGCAGATTAACGAATATTCTGACGGGCTGCTACTTGAGTTTGAAACCTATGTAATTTTACTAACCAATGTCACCCCAATACAGTTAATAAAAAAATTCCTATGAAATAAAAATATACAAAGATATAACATGTATCAGGTGACAGGATACATGATAAAGGTGTTGAACTACTGTAATCACATTGCAACATAGATAAAACCAGCACACTGAACAGCTCTGACCTACATGTTATATGTCAAGTATACCTAAATTTTAAAAAAAAGAAGAATTCATGATAAAGTTATATGAGGTCTGGTAAGTTCACGAACTCATCCTAGAAAATGTGTTACATACCTCATTGCTAAATATCACTATGGTCACCTTTGAAGGACTCCCCTTGGGAAGCTATGCACCAGCACCTAGTCCACCCACCCTTCCAAGCAATTTTGGAACTCTTTCTGGAATGCCCATCAGAGCTGTCGTCGTATTACCCTTGATGTCCTGAATGTCTTTAAAATGTCTTCTATCTTCAGATAAAGAAAGAAGTCATTGGGGGGCCAGATCAGGTGAGTAGAGAGGGTGTTCCAATAGTTACGTGTTTACTGGCTAAAAACTCCCTCACAGTCAGTGCCATGTGCAGTGTCGTGATGCAAGAGCCATGAATTGTTGGCGAAGAGTTCAGGTTTGTCTAACTTTTTCTCGAATCCTTTTCAGCACTTCCAAATAGTAAGCTTGGTTAACTGTTTGCCCAGTTGGTACAAGTTCATTATGAATAATCCCTCTGATATCAAAAAAAGGTTAGCAACACATTGCAACGAGTTCATAAACTTAATTGTCAGACCACACACACACAGAGACAGAGAGACACAGAGAGACACAGAGAGAGACAGAGAGAGACAGAGAGAGAGCGAGAGAGAGCGAGAGAGAGAGAGACAGAGAGAGAGAGAGAGAGAGAGAGACAGAGAGAGACAGAGAGAACCAAAGAAGTGTCAGAGTGGAGACGACAGCAACCCAAGTGCCAGCAGTGAAGTAGACACTAGGCCTGTACACCCGACTTACACTGCAGAAGCCCTTAAATGGCTTAGGAATTGGGAATTGGCAGGGCAGTTTCAGGAAAAATACTGTTTTCAAAGGCACGATTTCCCCTTTTAAAACGAGAATGTCCCATGTGGCAGAGGGCACTGCGAATCTATGTCCTGACATCACTACCATGTGGGCCCTTACTGTGTTGGGCACTAGTTGAGCATTTGGGGACCCTGCTGGTGCCCTTATTCTCCCTTGGGAGACCTGAGGCCCAGAGGCAAGGAAGTACCCATCTGGGGTTACACAGCGTCTGGGGTGACACACAGCAGTGGGGAGGGAGCAAGGAGTCCAGACCAACCCACGGTGCTCCAGTGCAAGCTGGCTTGTTCGTTTCTCAGGTGAGCAGAAATCTCTGCATCAAAAAATGTTTGCCTCGTTTTTAAAAAAGACATTGCCTGACTGCCTTCCACAGCGGCTGTACCAACTTACAGCCTGACGAGCACCGTCAGCCTCGTGTCTTCCTGGCCCTCAGAAACAGCTATTAACCTTGTTTGATTTTTCCACCCAGTTCCATGAAGCCTGATCTGCCTGTCTTGCACGAATGAAGCCGAGCACCTTTTCATGTCCAAGGGCCACCCGTACATGTTTCCTGTAACTGCTTGTCTACAGCCCTTGCCCATTTTCCACATACCTGTTGGCTTTTCCCAACTTTTCTAATCAAATCTTACAGAGGCTTTATTGGGATCAACAGGAGCCAAGCTCTACCCATGTCTCCCCACAGTCCCTCCTCCACCCTGGGGTGCCCCTTGGGCGTCATCCATCGCTACGGCCGGAAACCGTGCTGAGTCAATACGGTGCTTCCAGACATATTAAGACAAGGCTAAAATGACTCAGGGGAAGTCCAGCGCAGCCCTGGGAGCTGCTGGTCTGATGCTCCCGAGGATGCAGGGGCACCTACTACAGACACAAGCCTTCGAGATGGCAGTCCACAAAGACAGTCACCTAGTACTCGTGGAAAAGGGAACCTGGTCTAAATGAGGATTCCTAGACCCATTCCAAAAGATGCTATTCCACCCAAAAGTGTGTCAATCTGTGAATTTGCATTTTAAACACGCACATCAGGGGACAGAAACATTCATCTAAAACAGGGGTCGGCAAACTTTTGAGAAGGAAGAGCCGCCAGGGGTCCGTTCGCAAACTGCGGCTCGCGAGCCACATGTGGCTCTTTGGGTACATACTTGTGGCGCTGAAGTAAAAGTAAAAATTAAAACTATCACAGTTTCATTTATAAAACTTTTAAAGGATATTATTCACATAATTGCAATTATGTAAAAATATATTTATGGTTCTCAAATAATTTTTAAATTGTTGTGAGGGACAGGATTGGCTCCTCCAGGGGTCTGCAAACTTTTGATTTATTTATTTATTTATTTTTTATTTATTTTAGCTGAGCCATCCTGCCACCTGTTGGCAGCTCAGCGGCTGCTCAGCTCGGGCCAGGACTCGAACAGCTATTGCTCAGAGCTCAAACTCTTGAGCGAGCTCTGAACCAACTGAGCCATTCGACCGGCCCTGCAAACTTTTGTGACAGAACGTACCCAAAGAGCCGCGTGTGGCTCGCGAGCCGCAGTTTGCCAACCCCTAGCCTAGAATCTAAGAAACCTTGTTCTGCTTGCAAAAAAACTCAAAACCAAAAAACCTCCTTTGCTCCTTTCCAATCCATGGGACTCCACTGAAAATGGAGCTGAAGGGAGGTAAAAAGTTCCTTCTTCTGAAAAGCCTTTCATTATTATCCACTCACAGGTTGTTACTCATTATAGGTTGTTTTAGGTAACATTAATTCAAGAGGTCATGTGTCCATATATATCTTGAGCTTAAGAAAAAGAAAACAGCAAATCAAAATAAGTACTTCTATTGACCTAGAAAAGGAGCAAATTTAAGTGAAATGTTTTTTGAACGTTTAATTCATGTTGTGCCATCAAACTTATGTGCTGCACTACTATTTGCTTAATGGAATGGAAGTAGGCAGGAAGTTCAAAAAGAAATGATAAACCTGGAGAAGTTTCTCACTTGTCCTTTCATTATCTGATGAACTCCCAGAACATACACACAGGTAGGGAAGAAACAAACACAGATGTGAACTGTCGTTCCTTATCAGATCTACCTATGTATTCTCTTCTGACCCAAAACCCTACAGTATTGCTGAAACAAACAAGGAAAGTTATTTCCTCTATGACTCAAGATCCAAGCCATTCTTTCAACCAGCAAGTCACCTAGGATCCAATTCAACCAGTATAATCTGAGCACCCTGGGTTGGGGGCAATGCACAGGCACAGAGGAACACAAGGTAAGATTCAAGGCCTACCCTGGAGGAAGAGACAGGGCTGCCCAGCACGCACACAAACAATAAAACAAACTCTAAATGCCCACGGTGGTAAAGGTCAGATGGGAATTTTAAAGGGCACAGATCACACGATGCCTTAGGTTGAAACCATGCTTCCAAAGACAACTGAGGCTTGCAACAAAGCTTAAAAACCCTAAAACACAATAGCAGAGACATGGAAGCAGTCCAGATGTCTATCGCTAAATGAGTGAAGGTGTAGTACATACATACAACGGACTATTACTCAACCACAACAAAGAATAAAATCTTGCCGTCGGCAACATAAATGGACCTAGAAAAGTATTATCTT